TTACAATTAGGAAGTTAGTGTAGAGCATCCAGCAGTATGGCAGCTTGTGTAATTTGTTGCTGATCTGGCTTGTTTCTTTGATAAGAAATACTGTCTAGGCCTATAACTATTTAAAATCCCACCACTTTTTTTCCTTCAGCATTTCTGAGTCCTTGGCCAGGTGAATATGTATTCCCATAGTGAGGAGCACAAATTCTCTGGTAGAGCATCCAAGTTATTTTAATTACAACCAATCAGCTTCATGATTTCAGGGCATTCTTCCCAATTCCAGTTGGTGGTACCTTTTCCCCACTTCACATGAAGCTTTTCTGTACTGAAACCTGTTTTATACTGGATACACAGGCAATAGTCGTGTAAAGGATTCTCTACCAGCTCCCATAATTGCACTCATTCTAATTATTCCATAATTAATTACATATTCTATGCTACTCATACTGGTTCTGCCTCCCTGATTAAACCCTTACTGATCTAAGTGGTATGCAGAATATACAAAAAAAATCTACAAATAAGTAAAACCAGCAAAAGATAAAAGTAAGCAAAAAAAAAAGAACAGAAAAGTCACACAATAGGAAAAAATGAAAAGATAACACAGGATGTTCAAACTCATAAATAATCAGAAAAATAAAAATTAGTTAAAAAATAAAAAAAAACATGAACTACTATTTCATCCTCATCAAAGTAGAAAATAGTAAAACTTATGAGAACTCTAACCACTTTCAAAAATAATTTAGAAATACCGCAAAGCTTAATATGGGCATTCCCTAAAACCTACTAATTCTGCATGTACAAAGAATTCTGGAGGAAATCAAGACAGTAAAAACTGAGGATAGGGTGACATGTAATATCCTTTATCTTGAGAATAATTATACTAACATAGATATATTTGATGTTGAGGATATTAACCTTGAAGTTGGTCATACAGTAGTAGGAGGAAGTCTTTGTTGGCAATTGAGTATCCCTTAAGGTAGCCCCCAATGATCTCTTCCATCAGGTAATCATGTCCTCATATAAACCCACCCCCTTATGTATGGGCTTGATTTAATTGCTTATATCTGGAGAATAGAATGTGGAGTGGTAACAGACTTTAACCCGCAAGATGAAGCCACAAAAAAGATTGGCATCTACCTTGGGAATCCTCTATAATTCTGATGGATATCAGGTAATTTATCATGAGCTTCCCTATAGAGAGATCCACATAACAAAGATTTCACAGCTAGCCAACATCTAACAAGAACCTGAGGACAAACAATCATATAGGTAAATTTGGATGTGGATCCTCCCTCAGTTTTGCTTTGAAATGATGACAATACTTTGTGACACTTTGTAGAAATATGAGATCAAGGCACCCAGATAAGCCATGCTCAGATTCCTGACCCATAGAAACTGTGAGTTAGTAAATGTTTTAAGTCACTGAGTTTAGGGTTGTGTTACTCATCTCAGTGTTGCTGTGAAATAATATCTGACAAGAAAAACTTACAGTAGGAGAAATTTATTTGGGGCTCATGGTTTTATAAGTTCATTCCATGGTTGGTCAACTTCAGTACTCAGTACTTTAGTTCCAAGATGAGGCAACTTCAGTACTCAGTACTTTAGTTCTTGGAAGAGAAAGGCAGAGGAAAGCGTGTCACTTTCTGTTAGTCCAAAAGTAAATAAAGAAGATGAGGTGGAGGGCCAAAACACAAACCCTAAAGTCATATCCCTAGTGACCTATGACTTGACTCCTCAAGTCATGCCCTACCTGCCTATAGTTATCAAATCCATTCAAATTATTAATCAATTAAATGGATTATTCAGTTGATTAGGTTATAACACTCATAACCTAATAATTTCATATCTGAACACTCTGCATTGTGTATCATGAGTTTATTGGGGACACCATCCAAACCATAACATTCTATCCCTGACCCCAAAACAACACATTTATCTTACAATGGAAAATTGTGAGATATTTAGTTCATCAGCAAGTGTCCTCATAATTTTAAAAAGTTTCAGATTTGCCCAAAAGTTTAAGTCCAAAATGTCCTCCAAAACTCAAAGCAAACTCTTATCCATGAGTCCCTATTAACAACAACAAAAAAAGATAAAATACTGTATATTTTCAATATACAGTAGCATACACTAAATATTCTCATTCCAAAGGGGAGAAAGAGAGACATAGAAGGAATGATACCAAAACAAGAATGGAAATCAGCTATAAACATTAGGTCCTATAGCACCATATCTAGCATCTGGGGCAAATAGAAGTGAACTGTGCTCTCTAAAAAGCTTGAGCTTTAGGCCCTGCCCTATGGCCTTACTGGCTGCAGCCCACATCATCTCTCTCTTAAGCTGGCTCTGTATGCAGATATCAACTACCTCAGTAGATGTTCCTCATTACAGGCCTCTCTTAATCCCCAGGGTCCTAAGGTAGCTTCAGTTTCCTTCTTACAGTTTCACATATTGCCCTCTCAAGGACTTTCCATAAAGATTCCACCAGGCCTTCTTTTGAAAGATTTGTGAAGCTTCCATGATGCTATAACTAGCATCCTGTGTTCCTGAAGAAACAGCACCACATGGACGATACCAACATCTGCCATCAACTGAAGCACTAGCTTGACCACAACTGCAGCAATTTCTAGTACTGGGGTGGATAAACATGGTGAAATGAATCCTAGTGAAATACCTCCTAGGTTCCTCTGTGTAAGCCAGTTGCCCCCAAGTTCTCTTAAAATTTGAGTTTTCATTTTTATACCCTTGAGCCTGACATGGGTATGGTTTTGCTGATTCCTGAGATGACTTTAAGGCATCTTTTCTATTGTCTATATGTAAAATTCTTAGATTCTCTTTATAGGCAGTAATCTCATCAACAACCATGCTTTGCTTTGTCCCAGTCTTATGTCTGCTTTTCTGT